AGGGCTATTATAAACATTAACACTGACACCGGAAAATGGGGGGCGGGGAGGATCTGAAACTATAATGTCATGTGATAGCACAGTGTAAGCACTGCTTTTATTATTACCAACACTATTACATATGTCTTTCACACTGCGATCCCCCAGAATTTATTTCAGACCCTCCAGTTTCGCCTCCTAGTACAATTAGCCCTGTGCAGTCCAACACAGTAGCTGCAAGCCAGAGAGCCACTGACATTTAAACTAGAAACTCAGTTCCTCGGTTACATTTGCCATCTGCAGCTGCTCAAGGGCCCCCCGTGGCTTGTGACTGTCATACCGAACAGCACAGGCCTGGGACATCGCTAGAGCTGCTGTTGTAGTTTGTGTGTTTATTCTATTGAGTGTAGGGCCTGGCTTAATTTTTATTATTATTATTAATTATTTATGTCACTTGGCTCAATTCATCTTAACAACCTTAGGAAATCAATAGTAGCAGCGTCATTATCCCCATTTCAGTAGATGGGAAAACGAGGCACAAAGAGGTTAACTTGCCCACAGCCACGGAGCAAAAAGCAGAGCTGGCATTTCGCTATATAATTTGAGAATGAAAATAGATTCCTGTGCAGAAACGTACCCTCTCACAGTTCTGGGCATTTAGCCGCTGCTAGGTCTCTTCCCGTGAAAGCAATAATCTTGTTTCCTTCAACCTCAAATCCCCAGAGCCCACTCCGGCGCTCCCTAACGCAGGAAATGCATGAATACATCCTTACTTAAGTGGTACCACGGGTCACCCTGCCTCCTCCAGTGTCAGGAGATTTGGCCTCCTGGTCCACTAAAGCATCTCTCTCTCTCTTTTTTTTTAATCGAAAATATATCTAGCCTGCATCAGGTAATGTTAAAGCTAGGTTTCCTTAGTATGATCCAAGATGGCGAACAGATGTGCATGTTTAGTTGACTAGCCCTGGCTGCCCAGGGAGGGTGGGGTCTGCAGTCCAGGTCTCTGCACAGTGAGAAGGAATGGTGAGTAATTACCGGTCTACCGTGAGCAATGGGTGGGGTGGGCAGCTGTCTCTCACCACAGACCTAAACCCATTATTTTACAGATGAGAAAACTGAGACCAGGAGGGAGCATGTCTCAGCCACACAAACACCTCCAGGCGGAGGTGAGAGCCATCCTGCTGGCGTGGCCCAGGAGGAAAATACTCTCCAGCCACATGGGGGAACCTTCCTAAAGGACGAAACAGAAACCCAAGAAAAAGCCCCTGCCCTGTCCCCAGAACAGATCTGAAAACCTGCCACAAATTTCAACACAGGCCCTTTCTGAGCTGCCCTGTTCTGCTCTACGTCAATGACAGCCAGCGTCAGGCAGGTTGCTAAATGCCAAGAACACCGGCTCTTAAACCCCCCCCAACCCGCCCCCTCCCCCCCCCAGAGCTGCCGTCTTCTCACTCCAGCCTTTGTCCCACCGTGCGGACACCGTTCGCGGTGGCCCTTTACCTGCTCCTTATTGTTACTGTTCAGTAAGCCGGGTTTCTTTTTCTTTTTAATGGGGCTTGTGGATGTGTCCTGTGGCGAGTGGCCATTGGAAGAATGCGGAGGGCTGGGGAACTTTCTTTTCGGGGCTGTTCTGTCGGCGGAGCCAGGATCTGAAAGAGACACACAGGACCACACATTTTACAGCAGTCAGGGAGGCCTCGGCCTCCTCGGGGAGGGGGCGGGGAGGACACAACCCATTTCGTTTCGGTGTTCCTCCTCCTTAGAATACACCCCCCACCCCCTTTCTGTTACCCATCTCAGAGGTCAGGTGGTCTTTCTGTGGCCTGCATAACATCTTTGTAACAAAGTTAACTCACTACCAGAATATAAAAACTGGGAGACTTTACAAAATCACCTAGATTTTTGGCTTCTCTTAAAAAGAAACAGATCAGGACCTTCCTTCCATGGCCTTCTGGCAACAGATATAGATCTGATGCCAGCTAGCCATTTTTCCATGAAAATGTGTCCTCCGTTTTGCCACAATCCCCCCTTCCCTACTGATCTCTGATGACGAGGCGCTGGCCCAGCTACCACGCACGAGTCCTCACACAGGCACCGGTATCGTCCTTTAGCCCAAAGAAATATTTGTCTCCACATCCGTTCCTGATGGCAAGAGCAGGAAACCATGAAAGATAGACCAGGAAGGCCACACATTTAAGAAAGCAAAGGCAAACATACTTCTTTATGGAAGACAACATTTACTCATGTTTATCAGGCAAACCATGTGTAACTGTGCAAAAAAATATATATATAACCCACCCACCAGAAAGTCCTCATGGCTCAGCCACCACTGGGGATGTCTGCAACTCCCCTCCAAAGAGGCCAGCACAAGTTACCTTCTCACTGAGTCTCATCCGTGCAATGCTAACCTCACCTTTGTCAATCCATTCTTTTCCATTTTAATTCTCCCAGAATCTCATTTAAACAGATATACTTCCTCCACCATCCAATCTTCACCTGCAAGACTGTGAATCCGTTCCATGCCCGACAGGTGACTTGTTAGCTTAGGGATGATACAATGGCGCGGCCTGGCGCACCTCACGTGCTGAGAAATGAAAGCTACAGGCAGCGGAAGAGGAAAGAGCTATGCGAAGAGTACAGGTGATGGGATGGGACGGGATGGGGGGTCCAGAAAAATGGTTATCCCCAAAGACAGCCCAAGGACGTTCCTCCTCCAATTGTAACCCCCAGGCGCGTCCCAGCACGCAGGCTGCACCCTGTGTCACCAGCCTCCGTGTCTGGACAGGAGTCGCCGGGGACAGACTAACAGGGTCCAAAGGGCCACATGCAAGGCCTCCCAATGGTTTTTTGGTCGGAAAGGCGGAGCAGCTTGCGGCAGGCTCGCAAAGCGAGACAGTGAACTGCTGTGACAAAATCCAGTCCCTGCTTTGGAACTCTCCAGTCTCACCAGACAGGCTTCGGGGAAATCCTGATCCAATGTCCAGGGTCTCTGCTGAGACACAGCCCTGAGAGGAAAGTCAATGCTAACCTTGAGGGAGAACAGACCCCGGAGTCAGGGGTTCATCCCACCGACATCAAAATGGAGGCCTGGAGAGCCCCAAGGGTTGGCCCAGAGGCACCCAAGAGCCAGTTAGTGAGGAAACTCACGGGAGAGGTGCAGCCTGGGATTGGCACATTCCCCGGATAAGCTTCCCCTGCCCGCAGGGCCCCCCCCCCCCCCCCCCGCCACGCCACCATCACACTCTCACCTTCTCACACACAGTCTTTGACCCAACAGTCCCTCCTAGAAACACAGTCTACACACACAGGCACAGAGGAACGAGGCCCACACAAGAGGCTCCACCACGGCGCTGTAAGCTGTCTCTAAGACTGGAACCGACTTCAGGCCCACGAATAGCGGACTGGCCTCATAATCCTCTCCAGCCACACGGCGGGCTGTTCTGCGGCACGGAGAGGAGTGAGGCACCCCCGCATGGACTGGTGCTTGACGATCTCCAAGCTTCTGCATCAGGTTTTAAAAAGCCACACCTGTCTAGCACCATTATCAGACCCACACACATGCCCCCACCCCAAAGTAATATATGTATCTCCGTTGGCATAAGCCTAGAATATTCCTGGATGAACACGAAAGTACAATAGAGTTCTAAATGGGGACTGGTGGCTGCCTCGGGCGAGAAGAACCTGCTTGGGTGTGGAAACGGGACTGTTTTGCATTCTGTAACCCCTGTGTACGGTACTTACCATGTGCCTGGACAACTCTATCAAAATAAAATAATGAAATATTTAGGAGGTTCAATTTCACATTAAAAAAAAAAAAAAAAAACAGCCCTAGCTGGTTTGGCTCAGTGGATAGAGTGTCGGCCTGCGGACTGAAGGGCCCCAGGTTTGATAGGAGACGTGCATGAGACAGCCAGTCAATGATTCACTCTCATCATTGATGTTTCTATCTCTCTCTCTCTCCTCCCTTCCTCTGTGAAATCAATAAAGATATATTTAAAAAAAAAAAAAAAAGGCAGCAGGTGCAAACCAAAACCAGTAATGAGCAGATGACAGAGGCCTGACTCAGAATAAAAAACATCACCATATGGACAAAGTTGGGGCTGATCAACGGAAGGTAGGTGTTTGGAATTTCTTCTACGTAGACCTGATAAACCCAGTATCTTTGCTCAGGTGTCAGACTGTGGGTTTTTAAGAAAGGTGTTTTGGGAACTCACAGGAGATGTGTTCCAGAAGAAATGGCATGCTGGCCAGGCAAAAACCAAAAGCAAGTGGACAAAGATGTTGCTCCGTTTGTGGGTAAATTTTAAAGGAAGAAAGTACATGAGGAAAGACACACCAATGAGAAAACCAGGGCATGTTGGGGAGAAATTAGTGTCTTTTGATGTTTCTCAGTGGAACACGCACTACTGAATCTTGGAAGGGACAGCACTTTCTCATCCCAAGAACCACCTCGGCATCCTCCCACTCAAAGACATCAGGACTCCCAAACTGACAACAAAAAGTGCCCCCACAATAGGCCCCAACACTCCCAGGAGTGCTACTGCTGAGCTGGAACATGGGGCAGCCCCGCCCAACGTAGCCAACCTTTGAAGCCAGAAAGAGCCAGAAAGAGCACTGACTCCCTCCAGAGTTAACGAGACTCCTCCTTGGGCAGTTCCCCACCTGCGACTGAGATCCCAGGAACGATGGTTCCCAGGACGAAGTCCCAGACTAGCAGCAGTGGTTTGTACTTGAGCATTCACTAGAAACGCACGTTCTCAGACCCCACGCCAGAGCTACAGAATCAGAAACCCTAGGACAGGGCCCGACCATCTGTGGTTTCACAAGCCCCCTGGAGGATTCAGATGCATGCTGGTTGGAGATGCTCTTGAGTGTGTGTTTGGGGGATGGACTCTGAGTTCTCAAGCCTAGAAAATTCTGATAAGCCTCTCCTTACCACCCACAGCTGGCTGCCTGTGGGGCTGGTTCAGGACTAAGGAAATAGAAGTCATGCGAGGAGGCATGGTGAGAAAATAAAGGCAGCTAAACAGGAGATAACCCCAGGCCACACTTGTAAAATGGGAGGAGAGGAGAGAAAGTAGTCAGACCAGAACTTCTTACCTGGAGCCCATGCATGTGCTCCAGGGACCCATGATCCATGTGTCACACACAGTTCTATATCTGGATGCAATTTCCTGGGAGGAAGGGCCATGCCTACTTCACCTTCTCCAAGGTGTCATCAGCAGCAAAGATTAAAAAGTACAAGGCTAGGACCTGGCCAGTGTTCCCAGTGGTTAGAGCATCAGCCAGAAGGGCCTGGGTTCAACTCCTGGTCGGGGCTCCCTGAGGGAAGCTACGAATGCATAAATAAGTGAACAACATATCAATGTGTCTCTGTGTCTTTGTCGTCATCCCCCCCCCCCCCCCCGCCGGTCTAAATAAATAAATAAATAAAAGTACAGGGCTAGCCCTAACCGGGTTGGCTCAGTGGATAGAGCGGCGGCCTGGGGACTCAAGGGTCCCAGGTTCGATTCCGGGCAAGGGCATGTACCTTGGTTGCGGGCACATCCCCCGTAGGAGGGGTGCAGGAGGCAGCTGATCCATGTTTCTCTCTCATCGATGTTTCTAACTCTCTATCCTTCTCCTTTCCTCTCTGTAAAAAAAATCAATAAAATATATTTTTAAAAAAAGAGTACAGGGCTAGAGGATCTTAAAGTCCTTCTGACCTTCCAAATTCTTTAATTCCATGGGAAAGGGAGGATCCTCTCTAGAGAGTCATACACTCATAAGCAATTTACAGCTAAGCAGCCCATCAGGAAGCAGAAGGGGAAACCAGGGACCTGTTTGGCAAGTGGAGGGGTCTGACCCAAGACTGCCCACACCTCAAAGGATCCCAACCTTCTAGTCTCAGCCAACCATCAAGACCTCAATTCTGGCTACGAACACACGGACTCCCTCCAGAGTTAATGAGACTTCAGCGGCTGCATCCAAAGGGTAGACATGTAATAGGTTCCAAACAACAGGCACATCTATCAACAGCAACAGCTTTCAACGAAGGCTCTTAGGGAGAAAAATTGGGCCATGGTGGCCTTCAGAGGTATGAGACAGCGGGTCAGCACTCTGACATAAACACCTGCCCGCTCCAGGGGGGCAGCCTCTGGTGGTGCTGCAGACCTTGCTGTCGTCATGGCAACAAAGCTGCCTTAGGACCTTTTCCAGAAAGCTGAGTCAAGTATTTTTTTTTTCCTTCTCTTTAATGATTTAATTCTGATGGGGATGTATTGCTAAACGCATCTCATCTCTAAACTTGGAACGATGACAGACAGCCTCTGTAGACTGAGTCCCCAGGGAAATGGTTCACCCTTGATCTGAGAGACCTTTCGGTGAGGTAGCAGGGCCTTGTGATTCCACAGGCCTGGCCCACCCGCTGCTTCCCACCCCCACCCCCACCCCTCCGCCTCCCCAAAAGAAGCCTGGCTCCGAAGGAGTTAATGTGGGCGAGGGAGGAAAGCTGCCTGGAGGAAAAGCACAGAGCAGTGACTCAGGGAAACAGCTTGGCACTGAGCAGGAAGCGGCAGCATTTTCCCCTCCTTGTGACATTTCACTGAAATCTTCATAACATGGGAAGGTCTACGGGTATTAGGAACCGAGCATGTAATTAGACGGTTCC